GGGAAAAGAACGAAATTTTTGGTATAAAGGCGATTCGTCTTATTTGCAACAACAACCTCGAAGTTTTCAATGAATGATTAACAAATCCCGAGGACAAACTATATGGGCAGTGGATGCCGTCATGGTCCAACTCCTCGGAGTGTTTTGAATTAAGAAATTCATCTAATACGTGGGGAGAGAAGGTTTTTATGGTTGTCCGGGCTGCATCCAAGCTTTCTTTAGTCACTCTACGTTATCAGTTTTTTTCTGCATGACGGTGTTGTGGGGTGATCTCAATGAAGGAAAGGTAACCGATATCAATCTACACCTTCCTAGGATTCCTAGGATTCCTTTAAACAGTTCCGAACCTTAAAAGGCTCTTAATAGGGACTTGGGGAAAGGATCCTTGCTCATGTACCAGTAGCTCTGCTCGGCACTTTTTGATTGCCTCAGATTGCCTTTGTCGCCTGATTGCCTTTATACAGCAAGGACAGATCCTGTTGTCCTTAAGAGAAGAGTTCAGGTTTGTGGCTGCTCCATTTGGCAGGCCATCTGGCCAGAACGAATCAGCCCTTGCTTCCTAAGAAAAGGGAATTTATAAGTTCCTGGGGATATGCAGAAGTTTATACATACAGTGCATTAAGTCCGAATATAGGGTCCGATCCGGGCAGAAAGAAAGTGTAAAGAGAGTTCTCGCAAAGATGTTACAACTTGATGGAAGTAAAGTATCGAGAATTGTTTTATTTGAGCTTTTTCCAATTTTGTATAACACAATTTGATGGCACATCGAAGTCAGTAGTTGTCGTGACCGTTTTTCAGCACACCTCGTGGAGTTCCATCCGGATTGAAACGAACTCTGAACGACGACCAAATTAGAGGGAATGTTAGATCTGCGGTAATTGAGGTGGTTGTTTTTTAGAGCAGTTGATGAAGTGAAGCGATGTATCAAAATGGTAAGACCTAGCCTGATAGAGAGGACTAAGAGGTCCGAGGCCGAAGTTCTGTCCGTAACCCGCCTGCCTTGTAAGGAAATTGGAGCCACCAATAAGTTGAGGAAGAAGGAACACTTTGATAAATTCTTTGATGCCCAACAATCCATTTTTTAGATGCGCCCAACGTTCGAATTCCACTCGTAATCGTAAATCCTCCCAGACAATTCTGGCACCAATTTAGCAAACGCTGGAGAGGTAGGCTGGGCGCTTGTTCTAGACGAGTACCGATCTAGGATTCGATTCGCGGATCGTGCGCGTAGTGAACTAGGGCTACTACACCGAATCCGCCCATTTAAAAATTTACTATTAATATTATTATTACTGTTATTATTATTATCATTACTACCACTGTCAAGAATGACTGTAACAAAGACGTCGTTGCTACTGCAAGGTTCCTATATAAAGTAAGCGATGGGCTAATGAGCCTACATGACGATGGACGAGATGTACTAACAGTCCGAAATCGGTCCTACCAAACACTACGTCTCTTCTAGGTCAATTAAAAGCCGACGAGTTTGGTTAAGAAGGAAAGCAACATAAGCTCCAGGGCAGTGGTCAACAACACCTCTTCACTCCTACCTGACACAACAAGGATTTGTAAGAATCCGAGATATCATTCATTCGGCCATGTCTTAAGTCCCCACGAGTAATCTTCAAAACACAGCAATTAGATGGTGGGGCTGGGTAGTGTCAAATGTCTAGCCCCTACACGTATTCATGGAAAATTGAATTTAGACACTCTCCCAGGCCAACACATCTTCCTTCCAGAAAACGCTAATCGGTTCCAGACTCATTTGAGAGGATAAACGCATCGTTTTGTATTTTATGTGGATCCACCGAACTCATTGTATGTGCTAAATATGCATTCATATGTCATGATATTTTTAGTGGAAGCCGGATGCACGGCCTAATCCAAACTGAAGAATTGGCTAACGCCAAAAGCTGTGTTCTTTTGACTTATGTTTACATACCAATCAAACCTCAAAATAGGCGCAAGAATCGGCTCAAACAGAATGGGCGAACTGACAGACAAAAGGTAAAGTGGTGAAACAAGAGAAGGGCAATGTTTGCAGAAGCGTGGACGAGTTGGGTGATGCAGAAGCGTGGACGAGTTGGGTGAAAAGGGTAGTTTGTTGTCAAAAATCGAAGCAAAAAAGGAAACGACTGGAAGTGATGTTGTTTGCGGAGAAAATTTAATTTATATTTACTCATTTTTTATTTATTTATATTTGCATATTTATTCAGTTTTATTTATTATCAAACATGCTGCTATACATAGTAACGTGCTGCTGTATTGGATAGGTAAGATGACTGACTGGTGGTTCGATCGGTACGAGCGATTTGTCAGTAGGCCCAAGTGACAACAAAACGATATAATAGAGAAATTGCCTACCTCTGTTTCGATGACGGTAAACTGGATGTCGATGATCCGTGATACATTTCGCTGTCATCTCGATAATGTGGTGGATGTGTAGAGAAGACCACCGTACCCATCGGTATTCCGAATCCGCCTAAAAAGTCAACCTAGTAAATAACCCTGAGGTAAACAATGCATAAAAAGGTAATAAATAAGCCCATTTAACTAAAAGTTCCATTTCTGAATTGCTGAGAATTTTTTCGAATTTTTATTTTTTGATTAAAGTCGGGATAGTGATAGGACATTAGATAGTTTGAATGGGATGCGCCATGTCATCGAATTACACCCGAAGCCGTTAAGCCATTGTAGTTCATTACTGGCTAGAAGCTCAGAAAGACTTTAAAGAAAATCGCTTTTCGTGCCGGTCTGTACGATACCAGTCGAAATGGGTAGGCTGATCTGGGAGTCCTGGTTGAGATACTGGGGTGGGAGCGGGATGCTTCATATTTACCCAGTGCCATACAGGAAGAAAGGCCTTTTCACCATCAATTTGCATTCCTCTGGAAAACTCCGATGAAGGAAAAGAATCTTTCCCACAACGTCATTTTTCTTCCATGACATCTATTTGTTTGTTTATTTATTGCGCTCAGAGCGTGGGCTGCACTTGAAGGAGGAAGTAAATAAAACTGAAGTGGATCGAACTCGCGTAAGATCAGGCTACAAACAAATTTATGAAAAGACAAAAGGAATAATCTGATTTCCCAATCTATAGAACCACAGAGCACGATAATTTTGAAAAAACCCGAAGTTCCAGAAAATTCCAGGATGTTGGTCCTAAAAGAAGCCCCGAAGAATGTCCCAGTTCTTCCCGCTAATGTGTGTTATTGTCCGTTGGTGCCCGAGATGACGCCCGTCTAATTCCTTTTGCGAACAGTTGCTTTCGATTCGTCATCGTTCCCGATCAACGCTCCAAAATGGGTGTGGTGCATGTCCCCGATGAGTAATCAGCGAATTCAAAACATTGAAATCGATCAAAGTATCCCTTAACCAGGTGTTCTTGCGCTGTAATACATCGCAGCCCATCTGGCAGAGGACGTCGCCCTGTCTACTTACCCTTACCCCACCCATCGCACCCTCCCCTTCTGGTTATGCCCTTCCACCACTGACTCCGGTTGGTATCGCAGTTTTTTTTTTGGGAATGACTTTTCACGATCCAAAAACTCCAAACTCTTTCTACAAACTACATAATGTAGCAGCTGAATGAATATAAATAAATAAAATAAATTTAAAATATCAGCAGTAATTATAATTGGCAGGTTTCCTGAAATATTTTAGGATTCATCTGTCCTCTTTTGAATATTCTACAAGTGATAAAGTGTGGTAAGTGGCGCTGATATCACAGCACGACTGGTATGTAACTCAAGTCCGGGATCGGACCTGCCTACACTAATAGAGTCTTCCATTCTGTCCCTTCAAAGTCAGCTTCTGGACACCTTGGTAATCTTGCTCGTCTGTGAATAGAAAAATGCTGACTTCGTCATATCCGGTTCTGATAAGATATTGTGTAGCAATGAAAATCAATAAACAGCTTAGTAAACAAATGTAAAAGGTGTATGCTTTGCGTTCCACCAAGACGAACCATACTGGTGGCCAAAAGGTATTCAAACCATCTGACCACTTCTATGGGAGCCCAAGATATGGAGCTAAACAAAAAAAGTTGACCATGTCAAGGGATCCTTCACAGTTCAGGAAGGTGTGTTCGAGGGTTTTGGTCTACTGGTGATGTAGAAAATTTGCTCTCAGCACGGTCAGCACTGAGCTTTGTAGTGTGCTCCTGCCCTTCGCACCATCGTCGGACCTTCCATTTTAAGGTTTGATCATGAGAATTACATGAATGGCTTTCGGAAACGAGTGCTTATCATAGCAGAATCGGCCAAATCAAAAACTTCAATTTTTCCTGGTTACGTCATGGACACTTGACTGAATGCAATGGAATGCAAGAGCTTGACGTGACCATTTTTATTTACCCAAATATTTCATCACAATAGTGATTGAATCATCAGAAAACAAGTGCGGTTCAAACAAGAAGAGTCAGCCAGTCAGGTTCATACTAAGATATGGGGACCTCGTAGTGATGCAGAACTTCTCAAGGTTTTCATTGATTGACTGATGACTAGCCCGTTGGTTGCAGAAACCTCTGAAAATGCTATCGGTTACCGGTTCATAGAGCTGAAGAAAGCGATGCAAGAACAGCCTCTACGAGCCAAACGGAAGCGAACTTAAAAGCGTTGGCTGAAGCTTGAAACGGATTTTTGACCTATTCTTTCTAGTGTCATCCGAAAAGGGTGGAGAACGTGTAATGGCAAACAGAGCACTATCACACTAGCATTTTCCGGAGATCAAATCTCGGATCGAACCAACAAAGGAGATTCTTCCTTTATCATCTTTTATCTTTTCAAATCGTTAGAGTAGGGGTCAAGCAATTTTACCGGATACGGAAATTTACCAACAGCCCACAAGCTGGAGGTCGTGAACCAGGGACAGGGTCTAAACATGCAACAGAACAACAAGCCTGCAGAACGTGAATGAACGATAGACAGTGTACTGCCAAGTACTTGTACGAGTAGATTAGGGACCATAACTTACAACTCTCCAATACCTCGAATTAGATCAAATAGATAGGACCAGATTGCCATGAGCGAACTGTTGACAGCCACCGAAATCGTAAGCTCTAATTATTGTGGACCCAAGTAACCAACAGAATTCTCTGAATCAGAAAACGTATGGCTAGATAAGGTGGTGCAAGAAAGCTATGGCTATGGAAGTGCCATCAAAAAGCTGAGGACAGGTGGATTCTCCGTATAGCCTGAGAAAAGAGCATCCCGATGCCTGGAAACCACAAGAGCTCGTTCAACTACGGCCTGGAGGGAGAAACGCCGCCTGTAATTCCACAGTTTCGAAGCATCCAAAACGAGCTGTCAAACCATGGCAGGAATCTGAACAAATTCCCGCACTTACTGGAGACCTGTCCTTGACTTACAGCTATGTACAGGTCCGGAGGCTCTCAAGAAACATCATTTCAAGTCTACAGTGAAATTTGCAAGTCGATCAAGTCGTTACAGTTACCTACAGTAACCTCTGATGAGAGCCGAAATATCTACACTTTGCGGACAACTCACGGATGGACTTACGGATGGACCTAACGTTCGAAGCCTTGCATGAACTTGATCCTCCATCCCTTCTGAGTGTTCATCCGCCTTGCCCATAACACCCAGTATAACTCAACAAAGTTCATCTCTCCGTTCGACCATAAACGGCCTTGAGGAGTCTCCATTTAGATAGAATTAGCGCAATGGTAATGCAATTCGATGTCGGAAAGTAGCGTCCAAGTAAATGCGGTCGATCGAATCACTCAACAGTAATTCCTTGAACTAACAATTGTACGGTATACCGTTGGGGTGCAGGGGGGCTTCAGTGGAAAAAGGACGAACTTCTTCCGTTCCAGTTAATCCTCTTAACGAGGAGTACTTTTACTTCAAGTTCTGCGGCACCAAGGTAGTGCTCACACGGTCCTAGGATCGGATCCTGCCCACATAGGTTTGTATAGCATCAACTTTCAACTCGAAAATCGGATGGTATTACTCAGATCGAAAAGCCGTGCTCTTTACAAATACGAATAGAAGTCAGATACATGGCGCGACCTGAAGAGTTTGGCAGAGACCGATTTATTTGCTCAATCCAAAGAAATCGATACGGCAGCTTTTTTATTGATTTGATCACGTCATCGGGATGATTACGTCGATTACTGTGTATAACCCGACGACAGTATGTGATCCCCCGAGCGCCTCGATGGTGACGCTGACGCGATGAGAGCACTTGTAAATAAACGGTGGCGTTTTTCCAAGAGATTAGCAAATAATGCCGTGCACTCCCCGTTGAAGTGATGGGGCGTCTGGGGGCTGGGAACAATCGATATCGATCGTTGCACTTCCTGTCGTCGATCACTCAAAAAAGCCTGTACAACATGGACTGTACAACAGACTACAGTACACCGACTACGCAACGATTTACAGGAAATCGATTGATTGATCGCTTCCGATATGCAGTTCAGTGGAGGTTAGAGACGCAAAGTACACACTCGTTCTCTAGACTCTAGCCAACACACAGCGAGGATTAGATATTAGGAAGAATCAAAATAAAACACAAAAAACCACGGCAGATCATTCAACATAAAAGCCCAGCCCAGCCAAGATTATAGCTGTGTAATTCTTCTTTAGCAAAATTACATAAAAAGTAATAACGAATTAGTTTTGAACCAGCTTCTTCTCGTTTTTTTTGTTTCGGAAGGTGTGGGCAAACCTTCTTAAGAAATGATAATAAGTTGGTTCTGAGTGATTTGAATCTATATATGCTTGGGAGAACGTTCTCTTGAACTCTTAGTTACCCTTAATTCCCTTTTTTTTGGTGAATAACTGCACTAGAAGAAATAGAACAAGGCTTGAATTGATTATAGTGCATCCAAAGGGGGCATTCTTTACGTAAATATCGAGCAGAGAAATGAATTAATCGTATAAGATTGCTAAAAGACACGAAAAAAATTACGCGTTGCCAGTTAAGCCTGTAGACAGGAAAAGCTCTAATGGGACGCGAGCGGTTGCGGTGCGGGTGGGTGCGGAATCAGGAAAGTCTTTGGAAGTATCGCATGAAGTTGCCTGTCAGCAATATGAAAGAGATCAACGAGGGGTTCATCACTTTAGCCGAAAAATCAGATCTTCCAATTAGACCACAAGAACCACATGGAAGAGTGGTCGTTATCTCTTCACAAAAGAATCTCCCAAAGTTAGAGCATTGATCGAATGCCGCATCGATCAATAAATAAATCAAAAATTATGGGCAGCAAAGCTTCTACAACTAGCGTCAGCTCGATCACAATATCAGTGTTACAACCTGAATGGCCAGGTGGGCTGACCAATCCTATGAGGTTGTTTCACAGACAGCAACAACCTGAAAATGTTGTAAACTCGAAGTCAGGGCGAAGTTTGCTCTGCGGGTGGCCACTACGGCCAAAAAGGTCGAGACAATTCTAAAGAAAAAACTTCTTCCTCATGCAGACCTACTTTTTTGGGATGATTTTGAAAAGTAAAAAAATTTTCATAGAAAAAAAAACTGAGCGTAGAAAGTTAGAAACTGACAGCAAATTGGGTACCAGCCGCTTTCATTTACAGTTTCATAAAGATGTGGATTTCGTCGACGATGTAGCCAGCATCCATTGCAAAGAAGACAGCAGAAGAATGAAAGAAGTATAGACAGAACAATAGAGACGATCAAGCCGATGATGAGTAAAGTGTAATCGATTCTGGAATAGCAAAGTAAATATTGACAAAAAATCTATCTACCAATGGTGTAGCACGCCACGCCAAAAACACTGAGCCTGTGCTGACCGCAACGGCACGCGTGCGGTTGCGACGCGGTCCNAGTGGGGCCGCGCCGCGACCGCACGCCTCGGACTCGTATATTGTGTGCACTCACTGGAATGTACTGCCATATGCTATGAATCGTTCAGCTCGTGTATGGCCGCTATCCGCTCGCTGTACCTCGTCAGGTCCACAGCAGTAATATCCCTGGAAATAATGTCTTAAAACCACGCTTAACTGTTGATCAAGTGACTGAAAAGCAAAAAAAAAGATGGATAGGTTACAGTTTTGTTCACTAAGCCGTCCAATTACAGTACTCCCTGGTGTCCATCTGGGACCTACTGCTACCGTTCCAACACAAGTGTGGGACAAAACACGTCCAGCAAAATTATGACTGCCTTATTCATTTATGTGTAAATGGATAATTTATGCGATAGCAGTTAAGGGAACCTGTTTGATGACTGTTTCCTTACAGCCTAGAACTTTCCCTACCAGAAACAATTAGTTTGGGTGGGCAAAAGGCAGGCACCTCCTTTTCTATTGCTCCTTCAAGGATTTTTTCCTGATGGTCTTGTATTTGATTTCCGAAAAAAATTTGTGATAGTACTGGAAGTAAGTATCTCCCACTTAACTTCAAAGTCAGAAGCCCAGGATTCGTCGAGGTTTTCTTCCCTCCAGACATGCATTATAGAAGTGGAAAACTGGAAGAGATGAAAAACTTAGTGGAATGGACCGGTTTCGATCTGGGAACGTTGAAACAACGCCTGTTTGCTGTGCCATTTAGCAAAGTAACTTACAGGGGAGCTGATTTGTAAGCTAAGTTGTGTTGTACGTTTGTACTCAGTTACTCTTTAATAAAAGCG